AAATAAATAAATAAATAAATAAATAAATAAATAAATAAATAAATAAATAAATAAATAAATGGCCCATCAGAAGTGAACAAATGCAGATTTTTTTGCTGCAAAATTCAACTTTGGGACGGCAGCAAACAAAAGTCAAACAAAAACAAAAAGTAAAAAAAATATATTAAATTTAAATAAAATAAAATATTAAATTTGTTTTTATTTTTAAAATAATATTTTATTGAAAAGGGATAAAAACACAGGAAAAGGTTTTTGCTTTTATTTGCACCTGATGCATTCGGGTTCAACTGCAGCAGCAGCAGCAGCTGCAGCAGCAGCAGCTGCAGCAGCAGCAGCAGCGGCTGCTGCTGTTGTTGCTGCATCCCCGGCAGCAGCAGCAGCAGCAGCAATACCAGCAGCGACAGCAATGCGGCAGCAGAAGCAACAGCAGCACCAACAACAGACGCAGTAACAACAGAAACAGCTGCAGCAGCAGCAACAGCAGCAGCAGCAGCAGCAGCAACTGCAGCGGGAGCAGCAGCAGAGGAACCAGGGAAAGCAGCAAACGCAGCCACACAGCAGCAGTCGAGAAAACAGCAGCAGCAGCAGCAGCAGTCGCAGCAACACAAACACAGGCAGCAGCAACAGTGGCAGCAGCAGCAATTAAGCAGCAGCAAATGCAGATTTTTTTGCTGCAAAATTCAACTTTGGGACGGCAGCGAACAAAAGTCAAACAAAAATAAAAAGCAAAAAAAATAAATTAAATTTAAATGAAATAAAATATTAAATTTGTTTTTATTTTTAAAATAATATTTTATTGAAAAGGGATAAAAACACAGGAAAAGGTTTTTGCTTTTATTTGCACCTGATGCATTCGGGTTCAACTGCAGCAGCAGCAGCAGCTGCAGCAGCAGCAGCTGCAGCAGCAGCAGCAGCGGCTGCTGCTGTTGTTGCTGCATCCCCGGCAGCAGCAGCAGCAGCAGCAATACCAGCAGCGACAGCAATGCGGCAGCAGAAGCAACAGCAGCACCAACAACAGACGCAGTAACAACAGAAACAGCTGCAGCAGCAGCAACAGCAGCAGCAGCAGCAGCAGCAACTGCAGCGGGAGCAGCAGCAGAGGAACCAGGGAAAGCAGCAAACGCAGCCACACAGCAGCAGTCGAGAAAACAGCAGCAGCAGCAGCAGCAGTCGCAGCAACACAAACACAGGCAGCAGCAACAGTGGCAGCAGCAGCAATTAAGCAGCAGCAGCAGCAGCAGCAACCGCTGCCGCAGCAGCAAAATGGCAGCAGCAACAGCTGCAGCAGCATCAAGACCCACAACCGCAGCAGCAGCAACCACAGGGGGAACAGCAGCAACAACCACAACAGCAGCAGCAGCAACCACAACAGCAGCAACAGTTGCAACGGCAGCAGCAACGACAAGAACAACGCAGCAGCAGCAGCAGCAAGAGCAGCAGCAGCGGCAGCAAGAGCAGCAGCAGCAGCAGCAGCAGCAGCAGCAGCAGACCTTCATCGCTGAATTCCTCAAGGGAAGGAAATGCTTCTCTCCAGCTGGCGATTTGCTGCGGGTCATAAGTTAGCTGCCGCTCGCTCTTGGCCCAGTAAAGCCGCTGCTGCTGCTGCTGCTGCTGCTGTGCTGCTGCTGCTGCTGCTGCTGCTGCTGCTGCAGCTGTGAAGGAAAGATAGGGCGAGCTGCTGCTGCAGCGACGCGCGGAGACGGCCGCAGGAGCAGCACGCACTGCTGCTGCTGCTGCTGCTGCTGCAGCAGGGGAGCTAGCTGTCACTTTGCTTGCAGGAGCAGGCGCTGCTGCTGCTGCTGCTGCTGCAGCAGCAGCAGCAGCAGCTGGCAGGTGAAGTGATAGCGGAAGCAAGAGGCGGCAGCTGCTGCCGCCTACGGCTCTGTGGGGCACCCTAAGCAGCATGGTGCAGCAGCAGCAGCAGCAAAACAAGCAGCAGCAGCAAACAAGAGCACTCACAGCAGCAGCAATAGAAGCACAAGCAGCAGCAGCAGCAGCAGCAGCAGCCTCAACACTGGACGAAGGCGAAGACAGCTGCAGCAGCAGCAACAGCAGCAAAGAGCGCGCTTAATAGTATTATATGAGGCAGCACACCAAAATAGAGTTAGGTGTTTGCAGCAAGACAGCAGCATTAACAGCAGCAGCAGCAGCAGCTGCTGCTGCTGCTGCTGCTGCTGCTGCAGCAGCCCCAGCAAAGCAGCAGCAGCAGCTCACGCGTGTCTTCTAGATTAGATGCTGTTGCAGCAACTGCTGCAACAGCAGCAGCAACTCAAAATGGTTAAAACTCACCAACAGCCTCAAAAAATAGCTTAGCAGCAGCAGCTGCTGCTGCTGCTGCTGCTGCTGCCGCGGCTTCTGCTGCTGCTGCAGTGTCGGCGGTCATAGCAGCAAGTTTAACAACTCCGAAGCACATAATTGAGCAGATGGCAGCAGCAGCACAGCTGCTGCTGCTGCTGTTGCTGCTGCTGCTGCTGCTGGATGGGGCTCTCTGTATAGGGCTTCGCCGTGCTGCTGCTGCGGCTTCGAGCCCGGCCTTCTTGCTGCAGAGCAGCAGCAGCCGCTGCAGCAGCAGCAGCAGCAGCAGCCACTGCAGCAGCAGCAGCAAGAGCAGCAGGTGCGCAAGAAACGCCAGCGACGGCAGCAGCTGTAACAGCAGCAGCTGTGGCACCAGAAGCAGCAGCAGCAGCAGCAGCAGCAGCAGCAGCAGCGGCAGCAGCAGCAGCAGCAGCAGCGGCAGCAGCAGCAGCAGCAGCAGCGACAGCAGCAGCAGCAGGTGCATTGACAGCGAACGCAGTGCCCCGCATATTCTGCAACAGCAGCAGCAGCAACAGCAGCAGCAGCTGCTGCAGCTGCAGCAGCAGCAGCAACAGCAGCAGCAGCTGCTGCAGCTGCAGCAGCTGCAGCAGCTGCAGCAGCAGCCAGCGCTCAACTTGCTGCTGCTGCTGTCATATGACGGCAGCAACTTCTCAGGGTGGAAAGACACTCGACCTCTTATTTCTCGCTGCATCAGCAGCAGCAGCAGCAGCAGCAGCAAGAGCAGCAGCAGCAGCAAGAGCAGCAGCAGCAGCAGCAGCAAGAGCAGCAGCAGCAAGAAAATAAGAACTGTCGAGGCGGTGCTGCGAGAAGCAGCAGCACGAGCTTTTGCTGCTTTCGCTACCAATCAGCTCCACCGCTGGCCGCAGCAGCAGCAGCAGCAAGAACAGCAGCAGCAGCAGCAGCAGCACGGAAAAAAACAGTGCGAAGAGCAAGTGCAGCAGCAGCAGAAACTGCAGCAGCAGCACGGAGAACAGTACGAAGAACAACTGCAGCAGCAGCAGCAACAAGAGCACGAGCAGCAGCGCGGCGAAGAGCACGACGA